CACAGCCCGCCGCTGCTTTGGCCGCCTGACTGACGCCTGGCGTCAGCAGTTTCCGGAGGCAGCTGAGATCCCCCGCTGGGGAGAGCTGTCTAGGGCTGGTGTAGCTATTTATGATCTTGATTTTGATGATATTCTCTCTGCTATGTATGCTGCGATTGGTAGTGATGAGGATGACTGTTACCGGTGTTTCCCGCCCGACCCGGGCATTGGTACTGCCGCGTCAGGTACTAGTGAGGCTGCTGCTCTAGGTGCCAGTGCGTCTGTGCTCTCAGGTGCTGGTGAGTCTGCCCTCTCAGGTACTGTGTCGGCTTCGGCCTCTCACACCTTCACCCTTGACTCTGGAGCGTCTCGCTCCTTCTTTAGGGACCGCACCACTCTCACGCCGCTGAGTCGGCCGGTTGCGGTGTCCCTGGCTGACCCCTCTGGGGGGCCTGTCCTGTCTCGCTTCTCCACTGTCCTCCCGTGTCCGGCGGCCCCCTCTGGCACCCTGACTGGTCTTTACCTCCCCTCGTTCTCAACGAACTTGGTGAGTGGTGCTGACCTCCACGATGCGGGTGTCCACCAGTTCACCCCTGCTCGTCAGCGGGTGACCCACTGCACGGAGGCGGATACAGGTCGCCACCTGGCTACGTTTACACGTCGGCCAGGGTCGAGCCTGTACACACTGACCACTGCTTCTCCTCCAGGTGCTGCGTCTGGTAGGGTCCCTTCGTCTAGTCAGGTGTTTTTTGGCAGCGTCCAGGTCTGGTCCTGAGTCTGCCCCCTGCTCGTGCCGTCGTCTGTCTCACGAGACCCTCCTCTGGCACCACCGCCTTGGCCACCCCTCTCTGCTTCGGCTCAGAGGTATGGCCTCGCGAGTCCTTGTGTCTGGTCTTCCCCGGTCTCTCCCTCCCCTTCCTCCGGGCCCTGGCCCCACCTGTGTCCCCTGTGTCGAGGGGCGCCAGCGTGCTGCCCCTCACTCCTCCCAGTTTCCTCCGACAGAGGCCCCGTTGCAGACGCTTCACATGGACGTGTGGGGCCCAGCCCGCGTCCGTGGACAGGGTCAGGAGCGCTACTTCCTGCTGGTGGTTGACGACTACTCGCGTTACACCACAGTCTTCCCCTTGCGCAGCAAGGGTGAGGTCACTGAGGTGTTGATCGACTGGATCCGCGCAGCTCGTCTCCAGCTTCGGAGGAGCTTTGGCTCTGACTTCCCTGTTTTGCGTCTGCACTCGGACAGAGGCGGAGACTTCTCCTCTGGCCTCCTGAGTGCCTACTGTCGTGCGCGAGGCATCCGTCAAACCTTCACGCTTCCGGACTCACCACAGCAGAATGGGATTGCTGAGCGCCGCATTGGCATGGTCATGGACGTCGCTCGTACGTCCATGATGCATGCGGCTGCTCCCCATTTTCTGTGGCCGTTTGCGGTCAGTTACGCTGCGCACCAGATCAACCTCCACCCCAGGGTCTCTCGACCGGAGACCTCCCCAGCCCTGCTGTGGACGGGGAAGGTTGGCGATGCGTCGGCGTACCGGGTCTGGGGATCTCGGGCGTTTGTTCGCGACCTGTCTGCGGACAAACTGTCCCCCCGTGCTTCTCCCTGCGTCTTCCTGGGGTTCCCCCCCGACGCCCCTGGGTGGCAGTTTTACCACCCCTCCTCTCGACGTGTTCTGTCCTCCCAGGACGTCACGTTCGACGAGTCGGTACCCTACTACCGCCTCTTCCCCTACCGCACTCCGTCCCTCCCCCCGCCCCCGCTCTTCTTGGTACCAGGTCCCCCCCCGGTGGTCCCCCTCCCCCCTCAGGGTCCTGCCCCTTCAGGTGTGTCCCAGGTAGACGCGGTCGAGCCTGTCGAGGTCACTGGTGACTCTGGTGCTGCTGCGGGAGCTGAGCCTGGGGGTGCGGAGTCTGGGGGTGCTGAGCCTGGAGGTGCCGAGTCTGGAGCTGCTGAGCCTGGGGGTGCTGAGCCTGGGGGTGCTGAGCCTGGGTGTGCTGAGCCTGGGGGTGCTGAGCCTGGAGGTGCTGAGCCTGGGGGTGCTGAGCCTGGGGGTGCTGTGCCTGGGGGTGCTGTGTCTAGGGGTGCTGAGCCTGGAGGTGCTGTGCCTGGGGGTGCTTCGTCTCGCCTGGAGCCACTCTCCCCACAGGAGCTGCGTGAGTGGTTTGCCAGGCGCTGGAGGCGTGCTGCTGGTGCTGGTGGTTCTTCGACTGCAGAGGGTACTGCTGCTGCGCGCCCCGCCGGTCCTCGTACTGTGGGTGCTGGAGCTGCTGAGTCTGAGAGTTCTCCTGGAGCTGGTCCTGCTGAGGGTGTTGGCGCTGAGCCTGCAGTTGGCGGTCCGGCTGACGGTGCTCCTGGTGCTGCGGCTGGAGGTTCTGGAGCTTCTGGTGGTGCTGCTGGAGGTGCTGCTGGAGTGGGTGCACCTGCCGGGGCTGCTGGTGCTGTTCCTGCTGTTTCTAGCGTCGCCGCGCGGCCCCAACCGTACTTCGTTCCGCTCCTGCAGCAGGTTCTTGGTCTTACACCTCCTCCTCCTCCCTTAGAGGGTCCGCAGCCTGTCCGGTCACAGCCACAGCTACAGCCTGCCTCCCCTTTGCCTGCTCCTTCTCCCTACGCTGGTCCGACTGGAGGTCTTACTGAGCGTCGTGAGCCTGCGTCTCGTCCTGTGTTGCCTGTTCGTACTGAGCGCGCTAGTGGTCGCGGGTCGCGTCAGCGTCCTCCTCCTGTCCCTGGCACGCACCGGATGTCACTGCGTCCGTCCACTGCTCCTCTGCGTGCCCCTTTGCCTTCTCCTCCTGCTTCCTCTCTTCCTGCTCTTGCCGACCCGGAGTCGGACTCTCTTCGTGCTGCCAGTCCTACTGTCACGCGTCTCCTGGCTACTGCTGTCACTGACCCCTCCTTCGAGTCGTCTGCTGCGTCTGCCCTTGTCACTGAGCTTGTCGACTTTGCTGCGCGCTGTCGTCTAGACTACGCTGCTCGTCTTGTCACTGAGTCTAAGTCCGCCTGTCCTCCGTCCGTCGGGGGTGAGTGTGCCCTTGGCACGGACGTCCTTGAGGACAGGCAGGAGGAGTTCCAGTGTCTAGCCGCCGCTTCACCTCGTCTCGCGTCTGTACTGCTAGCCCCTGAGGGAGACCCGGATGCACCAGACATCCCGACTCCGCGCTCTTACGCGGAGGCGATAGAGGGTCCCTACTCCTCTCAGTGGCAGGCAGCTATGGATGCAGAGATGGCTTCCTGGAAGTCCACAGGCACCTACGTTGACGCTGTCCCCCCTCCTGGGGCGAACATCGTCAGTGGCATGTGGATTTTCAGGGTGAAGCGGCCGCCGGGTTCTCCGCCTGTCTTCAAGGCGCGTTACGTGGCTCGTGGCTTCAGTCAGCGGCAGGGGGCTGACTACTTTCAGACCTTCTCCCCCACCCCGAAGATGACCACTCTTCGGGTTCTGCTGCACGTTGCTGCTCACCGTGACTACGAGCTCCACTCTCTCGACTTCAGCACAGCCTTCTTGCAGGGCAGCCTGCACGAGGAGATCTGGCTGCGTCGCCCACCTGGCTTCACTGGGTCTTTCCCTCCTGGTACCCAGTGGAGTCTCCGGCGTCCAGTCTACGGTCTCCGCCAGGCGCCACGTGAGTGGCACGACACACTGAGGACTACGCTCGCGGCACTTGGGTTTGCTCCTTCCACTGCCGACCCGTCGCTGTTTCTGCGCACCGACACCTCTCTGCCGCCGTTCTACATCCTCGTGTACGTCGACGACTTGGTCTTTGCCACAGCTGACACTGCTGGACTCGCCTACGTGAAGTCCGAGCTGCAGAAGAGACACACGTGCACTGACCTGGGTGAACTGCGCAGCTACCTTGGCTTGCAGATCACTTGGGACAGAGCACGCCGCACCATTACCCTGACTCAGTCACACATGGTGCAGCAGGTCCTTCAGCGCTTCGGCTTCACGTACTCCTCGCCTCAGGCCACTCCTCTGCCTACTCGCCACTCGCTCTCAGCTCTGCCTTCGGATGAGTCCGTAGAGTCGAGTGGCCCGTTTGCAGAGCTTGTTGGCTGCCTCATGTACCTGATGACCTGCACACGACCTGACCTCGCATACCCTCTTAGCATTCTCGCACGCTTTGTTGCTCCTGGGAGAGACCGACCAGAGCACATGGCTGCAGCGAAGAGGGTGTTGCGCTACTTGTGCAGTACGTCGGGCATGGGGCTAGTGCCTGGAGGGCGCAGTCCAGTGGTCCTCACTGGGCACGCAGACGCTTCTTGGGCTGACGACCAGGCTACGCAGCGGTCGTCACAGGGTTACACCTTCAGCCTTGGTTCCGGCTCTGTCTTGTGGCGGGCTACCCGCTCGTCTTCTGTTCTCGGCTCCAGTTGTGAGGCTGAGATCTACGCTGGGGCTATGGCTGCACAGGAGTTACGCTGGCTCACCTACCTGCTGACCGACCTTGGGGAGCAGCCTCGTTCTCCTCCAGTCCTGTACGTAGACAACAAGGCCATGCTGGCCTTGTGTCGAGAGCAGCGACTGGAGCACAGAACGAAGCACATTGCTCTTCGCTACTTTCTTGCTCGTGAGCTACAGCAGCGTGGACAGCTGCGACTTGCGTACGTGGCCTCTGAGGCCAACACTGCTGATGTCTTCACCAAGGCACTTGCGCCTTGTGATCATTAGCGTTGCTGCACGCAGTTGGGTCTTGTGCCTGTCTTGCCTCACTTGCTCTCCTCTTGACCTTGCTTGTACCTTCGCATATATATACTCTTGCTCTTGTATATCTCTATATATGATCTTGCATGTGAACTGGCCTTGTGGCCTTTGAACTTGTGCTCGGAATGCGTGGTGACTTTGTGATCCACCCTGAGCTTTGCTTTGCTTTGCTTGACTGGTCTTGTGACCCCTTGTTCTCCCCCACTTTGCCTATGGGGGTGTGTCAGAACATATAGCTTACTTGTTTGTGTAGGCTATAGTGGGGTATCCCATAGGGGGTACAACACATTAGGGTTTCCTATTTGCATTCACTTCACTTCATAGTCATTCATTCCCTCGTTCACAACGACACGAGCAAGGAGCAGACTCAGAACCAGACCTGGACGCTGCAGCAAACACCTGACTCGATGCAGCTACCTGACCAGACTCAGCAACCGGAGGAGACTCAGTAATCAGTGTGTACAGGCTCGACCGTGGCCGACGGGTAAACGTGGCCAAGTGTCGGCCCGTCCGAGCACACGTACAGTGGGTCACCCGCTGACTCGCAGGAGTGAACTGGTCAACCCCCCCATCCTGTAGATCAGCACCACTCACCAAGTTCGTAGAGAACGAGGGGAGGTAGAGACCTGACAGGGTGCCAGAGGGGGCTGCCGGACACAGTAGCACAGTGTTGAAGTGAGCAAGGACAGGACCCCCAGAGGGGTCCGCCAGGGAGACCGCAACCGGCCAACTAAGCGGCGTAAGCGTGGTGCGGTCTTGAAAGAAGGAGCGGGAAGCACCCGAGTCAAGGGTGAAGGTGTGTAATGCCTGTGCCGACGTGGTACCTGAGAGAGCAGACTCACCAGCACCTGGGGCAGCAGACGCACTAGCACCTAGAGCAGCAGCCTCACCAGCACCTAGAGCAGCAGCCTCAATGCCCAGGTCAGGCGGAACACACAGGTAACAGTCACCCTCATCACTAGTAGACACAATATATATGGCAGCAAGAATAGCATCATAATCAAGATCAAAGATAGCAACCCCCGACCTCTGCAGCTCTCCCCAGCGAGGGATCTCAGAGGCGTCAGGGCCACCACTCCCACCACCACCCCCACTCCCTCCGCCTCCTCCACCGCCACCTCCACCGCCCCCGCCAGCCCCTCCACTGCCCTTGCCCCCCTTGCCCTTGCCGCTGCGGCGTCTCCCGCTAGGGGCAGACGCAGCGCCGACCGACTCGGCAGCAGTAGAGGCAACAGAGGGCAAACGGGGGGAGGGGGAGCACCCCTCAAAGACAGGGGCACGAGGGTTACCTCGAGAGGCTCCTACAGCGACTATACTCTTCTCAGCTGCCAGGAGGCGCTCCTCAAGGAGGTCAACGGTGAGTGTGGTGGGGCAAACATAGAGGAATTGGTCCCTGACTGAGCGAAGGGAGTCAGGGAGCCGGGTGACTATGTAGTAGAGGGTGATGTACATGGGGGGGGGGGGGGTTCTTGGCGCAGAAATCAGCAGGAAGCGCAGCGCGGTTGCGGGTGTCACTAGTGCAAAGGTGCGTAACGAGGTCAGCGACAGTGGGAAAGGCGGCGAGGTCAGGAAACAGGTACGGCAGCATGAGGCGGCTAAGAGCAGCAGTGGCAGGGGAAGAGTAGCGTGCAACTACAGCGTCGTATAAGGTCTTAGCACTCTTGTACTGACTAAAGTGCGCACGCTCAGCAGTCGGTAAGTGGCGACGCACAGCAAGACGGGCAGCAGCATTGCGTGTGGCCCACTGTGAGCGAACAGTGCTGTCAACATCAGTAGGCGGGGCAGGAGAGGCACCAGAGGTGAGATCGAACAGGGAGAGTCCGTCTGCCCTATCGCACTGTAGGAAGAGCTGTAGGTCATCGACCCAGATCTCGAAGTCAACAGCACGACCCTCAGCATCAAAGGTAAGGACAATGGGGGTAGCCATGACAGCAGTGGTCTAGCAAAGAGCGCTCTCACCATTCTGGGTGGGTAGGGCCGGGGCGCGCCGGTAGGAACAGGGCTGCAACCGTGGTAGCAGCGGCTTGGCAGTGGCAGTAGCGGCTCGACGGCGGCTCGGCAGTAGCGGCTTGGTAGTGGCGGCTCGGCGGCCTCGGCGGCTCGGCGGCTCGTCAGCTCGGCTGCTCGACGGCTCGGCGGTTCGGCGGCTCGGCGGCTCGGCGGCCCGGCGGTTTGGCTGCTTGGCGGCTCGGCGGCTCGGCGGTGAAGGGGCCAGGGAGGGGCCGAGAAGAGGCCGCGAGGGGCCGTGAAGGGCGGCGACGGGGCCGCTAGAGGCGGCGACGGGGCCCCGAGGGGCGGCGACGTGGCCGCAAAGGGGCCGCGAGGGGCCTCGAAGGGCGGCGACGGGGCCTTTAGGGGCGGCGACGGGGCCGCGAAGGGGCCGCGAGGGGCCTAGAAGGGCGGCGACGGGGCCGCTAAGGGCGGCGACGGGGCCGTGAAGGGGCCGCGAGGGGCCTAGAAGGGCGGCGACGGGGCCGCAAAGGACGGCGACGGGGCCGTATAGGGTGGCGACAGGGCCGCTAGGGGTGGCGACGGGGCCGCTAAGGGTGGCGCGAGGGGCCACTAGGAGGGCGCGACAGGCCGCTAAGGGCAGGGGACGCGACGAGAGGGCGGCCCATGGGGCGCGCCTCGGGCAGGGGCGACTCGCGCTCCGGTCAGGAAAAAAAAAATCGATTTCAGTGGTGGGCCCTAAGAAGCGTTCCCACTAGGGAACCTGCTCTATACCATGTGAAGAAATGAGGAATGAATGAACTAGCAAGCAGGTGGGTACAAGTAGGAAAACCTAAAAGTGTTGTACCCCATATTGTCTACCCCACTACAGCCTACACAGACTATAGCATATGAGTTTGACAACAGAATCAGAGCCAAGACTAAAGGTGTAACCCTCTGACGACCGTTGAGTTGCCTGGTCGTCGGCCCAGGAAGCGTCCAAGTGACCTGTGAGTACCACTAAGTACCGTCCTCCAAGCACAAGCCCCATGCCCGATGTACTCCACAAGTAACGTAATACCCTCTTAGCAACTTCCCAGTGCACCTTTCGGTTTCTACCGGGAGCCACGTAGCGAGCGAAGAGGCTGAGAGGGTACGCGAGGTCAAGTCGTGTGCACGTCATCAGGTACATGAGGCAATCCACAAGCTCTGGATACGGACCACTCGGCTCTACGGACTCGTATGAAGGTGGAGCTTAGAGTGAGTGGCCCGAAGGCAGAGGAGTGGGCTGGGAGAACTGGAACCCGAAGCGCTGAAGGACCTGCTGCGCCATGTGTAACTGAGTCAACGTGATGGTGCGCCTTGCTCTGTCTTGAGTGATCTACAAACCAAGATAGCTGCGCAGCTCACCCAGGTTGGTGCAAGTGTGTCTCTTCTGCAACTCCGACTTCACAAGGGCTAGCGCCTCAGTGTCGGCAGTAGCAAAAACCAAGTCGTCGATGTACACGATGATGTAGAACGGCGGCAGAGAGGGGTCGGTGCGCAAAAACAGCGACGGGTCAGCAGTCAAAGGAGCAAACCCAAGAGTCGCAAGCGTCGTCCTCAATGTGTTGTGCCACTCGCTAGGCGCCTGACGGAGACCGTAGACAGGCCACTGGAGGCTCCACTGGGTACCCTTAGGGAACGACCCTCGTGGGCGGCGCAGCCAGATCTCCTCGTGAAGGCTACCCTGCAAGAAAGCTGCGGAGAAGTCGAGGGAGTGCAGCTCGCGGTCACGATGTGCTGCAACTTGTAGCAACACCCGAAGAGTAGTCATCTTTGGGGTGGGGGAGAAGGTCAGGAAGAAATCGACCCCCTGTCGCTGACTGAAGCCTTGAGCAACATAACGCGCCTTGAAGGCAGGCGGAGAACCCGGCGGCCGTTTCACTCTGAAAATCCATATGCCATCGACTATGTTTGCCCCAGGAGGAGGAACCTCGTCGACGTAGGTGCCTGTGGACTTCCAGGAAGCCATCTCTGCGTCCATGGCTGTCTACCACTGAGAATAGTACTCACTCGCGATCGCCTCAGCGTAAGAGCGCGGGGTAGGGATGTCAAGTGTATCCGGGTCTCCCTCAGGGCAAAGCAGCACGGATGCGAAACGAGGTAAAGCAACCGCAAGACACTCAAGCTCAAACTGTCTGTTATCAAAGACGTCACTGCTAAGGGCAGGCTCACCCTCGACGGACGGAAGACAGACATGCTCAGACTCAGTAACAAGACTCGCGACGTAGTCAAGTCGACTCCTAGTAGCGAAGTCGACTAGCTCAGTGACTAGGGCAAACACAGCAGTAGACTCAAAGTCAGGGTCAGTGACGACAGTAGCGAGGAGACGAGTGACAGTAGGTTTGGCAGCATGACCAAGGTCGGACTCAGGGTCAGGAACGTCAGGAAGAGAGGACGGCGGAGGAGATGGTAGAGCAACACGATGTGGAACAGAGGAAGGACGAAGTGCCATAGTGTGATTGCGGGGACAGGTGGAGGATGAGAACGACAAGCACGATTGACAAAGAATACAGGGGAGGCAGGACGAGACTCAGGCTCACAACGCTCTGCAAGGGAACGTGTCTGCGCAGGGTAGGGAGAAAGGGCAGGCAGTAGAGATTCAGGCAGTAATTGCGGCTGTGACTGGTCAAGCGGAGGACACAGGAGAGGCGGAGTAAGGTTAGTGGAAGACGGAAGACTATTTACCTGACGAAGTGCCGAGCCAGGTGGTGGTAGGGACGACTGCGGCTGTGGGTAGAAAAACGGTCTGCGCAACGCAGTACCCGTACTGTAGCATCTCCAGCACCTCGAGCACCCCCAGCTCTAGCACCTCCTATACCACCAACTCTAGCACCTCCAGTACCTCCAGCTCTAGCACCGGCAGCATCTCCACCTCCAGTACCTCCAGCTCCAGTACCTCCAGCTCCAGTACCTCCAGTACCAGCAGCTCTAGGACCTCTAGCATCTCTAGCACCAGTAGCTCCAGTACCTCTAGCACCTCTAGCACCAGCACCTCCAGCACTAGCAGCTCTCGCACCTCCAGTTCCTCCCGCTTTAGTACCTCCAGCACCTCTAGCTCTAGCACCTCCAGCACCAGCACCTCCAGCACCAGCACCTCCAGCACCTCCAGCACTAGCACCTCCAGCAACAGCACCTCCAGCACCAGCACCTCCAGCAACAGCACCTCCCTCACCTCTTGCACCAGTAGCTCTAGAACCTCCAGCACCAGCAGCTCCAGTTCCTCCAGCACCTCCAGAACTAGCAGCTCCAGCACCTCCAACACCAGCAGTACCTCCAGCACCAGTAGCTCCAGCACCTCCAGCACCAGCAGCTCCAGCACCTCTAGCACCAATAGTACCTCCAGGACCTCCAGAATTAGCAGCTCCAGCACCTCCAGCACCACCAGTACCTCAAGTACCAGCAGCTCCAGGACCTGTAAAACTCCAAGCTCCAACACCAGAGCGGCCTCGCTGAACGATCCACTCACGAAGATGCTGCGGCGAGAGTGTCTCAAGTCAACTAGGCGGCTTTTGCTGTCGAACGCTAGAACCTCCAGCAGGGGCACCCACGGCCCCACCACCACTAGGACTCGCAGCACCCCCAGAGTCAGCACCCCTAGACTTAGCACCCTCAGAACCCTCACCCCCGGTCTCAACACCCCCAGGACTAGTACCTCCAGAGTCCTCGCCCTCAGTTTCTCCACCCCCAGCAGCACCAGAGTCCACAGCTACAGGCTGCAGAGGCGGCGAAGACGGTCGAGGCGGAAAACCAGGGGAGGTCTCCAAGCGTGGAGAGCGGCGAGTGGCCACCGTGTTGTCAGCAGCGGGGTCACCCCCCCCTCAATTGGGCCAGAGGTGTCAAAGGACACCTCCAAAGGCTCAACCAAGGGGGGTGGGTCTACCTGAGACACACCTGAGGGAGCAGGACCCTGTGGGAGGAGGGGGTCTACCGGGGGGGGGATTGGAAGTAGGAGGACGGGCGCCGGGGGGACTGGGTGGGACGTGTGTAGGTGGAGACGGTAGAAGCATACTGACTCGACGCGAGGCAGGGTGGTAAAATCGCGAAGGTGGGCCGTCGGTGGGGAAGCCAAGGAAGACGCATCGAAGAGTGCGATGAGAGAGCTTGCTCGTGGTGGTATCGCGGACAAGGGAGAGCGTGCCCCAGACCCAAAACGCCGACGCATCGCCAACCTTCCCTGTCCAACGTAGTGTGGGCGAGGTCTCTGGCACAGAGACATGGGGCCAAAGGTTGAGCTGATGCGCAGCGTATCGGACCGCAAACGACCATAGTAAATGGGGAGCAGCCGCAAGGATCATGGAGGTACGAGCAACCTCCATAATCAAGCCAACGCGATGCTCAGCAATCCCATTCTACTGCGGAGAGGCCGGAAGCGTGAACAACTTGGCGATGCCCTTGTCTCGACAGATGTCTGCAAGGAGGCCGGTAGAGAACTCACCGCCCCTGTCAGAGTGCAGACGCAGGACTGGAAGATCCCGCCGAAACCGCTCGCGCAGCTGGCGACAAGTAGCACGGATCCAGGGGATCAAAACACAGCGGACATCCGCCTTGCTTTGCAAGGGGAAGACCGTGGTGTAGCGCGTGTAGTTAACAACCAGCAGAAAGTAGCGCTCCTGGTCCATCCCACGGACGGGGGCCGGGCCCCACACGTCCATATGGAGAGTCTGCAGAGGAGTAGTGGTCGGAGGAAACAAGGAGTGAGGAGGGCATGGCGGGGCAAGCGGAGGAAATGCGCTGCCGCCCCTCGACGAAGGGAAGGCACGGCAGGGCAAGTGAGCATGGGAGGGGGGGCAGGGACCTAGGAAGGACAGTGGCAAGGAGACGAGAGTGCATGCTGCGTAGATGCGGCAGAGAGGGGTGACCGAGTAGGTGGTGCCAGAGGAGAGTCTGGTGGGAGAGTAGCCGACACGAGCACGACGTAGCTAACTGACCAGACGCAGACACCTGACTCGACGT